CGCGTGGGGCTATCTTCCTCGCTCAGGTAGGGGCTGTGGCCGCCAAGTGAGGGGTGCCGAGCCGGGGGTCGCTGTTCTTCGGTCTTGAGGCGCGCCTCCTCTACCCAAGCTGGTGAGCGTGTCCTCAAACCTTCGGGAGCCTGGGCTGCCGTTCTCTACGCGAAACATTTCAAACATGCCAACAGTTCCCTGCGAGCATTGTCTTTAGGCCGGAGGTTCATTGAGCAAACTTTTGGGGTTGGATAAAGGGAAAATTCACGGTCGGTGAGCTGATTGTGCTTCCTCCTCTACCCCCAAGTTTCCATTAGGAGTAGCCGAGCGAAACGTGTGTGTAACATGGTGGTGCCCCACTAAGGGCTGTGATTTAGGGACTGGCACACGGATTGTTTTTTTCAGCTGCCTTTTTTTTTTTTAATGGTTTGTAATGATTCCCAACTTTAATTATAGTAGTTTTCTACAAATTCTGAAGACGTTTTCCAAAGCAGAACGTTGCGGTCCCTTTTTCATCGACTTCCACATTTCTGTCACTTAGGAGGTAAGCACTCTCTTAGCTCCCAGCTATTCATAGTAGTTGCTTAGGCGCCAGTGGCACCTCTGAGGCTGAGGCCGGGAGAGGAGAAAAACAGGAAAAGTAAAAAGGCTGAGAGGTCTGTTGGAGGGAAGAACGTGGGCCGTGGAGCCCTGCCAGCTTCTTTGAGTTGTGGTGGTTTTTTATTTGTTTGCTGGTTTTATTTTATTTTTTTTAAATAGACATGGAGATGTGTCCTGTTTGCGACATGTGCCAGTACTGAGATTTAAAACTCAGTACAAATTTTGAAAAAAGAAAAATTAGGTGCTACAGTGAAAGACCCATTGTTGTAGGTGCCCTTGAACATGGTATCCCATAGGTTGCTTTGTTTTATAGAGACCTTTACTAGGATTCATTCTGGGTCTGGTGTTAAGGAGTACTTTAAAAGTCAGAAAGAATACCCTTGTCCTTCCAGCTGTGTGACCTTAACTGTGCCTTTTCCTTTCAGATTTCACACATTGAAATAGTAGTAACACTAATAACTATTCTCTCATACAGTTGTGAGGACCAATATTGTAAACATTTAGGTTTTTATGAACCGTAAAGCTTTACTTAATCTGTCTTAAAAGTTGTTGGTTAAATCCTGTATTAATGATCTGTCTTCATAAGGTGAAATAAACAAATGTTTCCTGTGTGTTTATAATCTGCTTTTTTCTTCCATCTTCTCACTTGCAAATTTCTTTTCTTTAATTCTTGACCTCACACTTTTCCAAGTTCCAAGGCTTTTCCATCTTCCTTACTCTGGTACCAATCATTTTTTTATTTCTTAGAGATTCAATATGGGAATAAGATTTCTATGGCTTTATTATTGAAAAAAATTCACACATATTTTCACAGATATATCTATCTATCTATCTATATATATATAAATGTGTATAATATATATGCCTTAGTGTCCTTGTTTTACTTATGATGAAATTAAATTAGAGGTCTTGTGGATTGTTTAGCCATATGGCTGTTAGGAATTGAAGCTGAAAGAAGGTAGAACTCTCATTCATGGTCCAGTGACTCTTCACTTCTTAATTAACTGAAATTCACAGTGATTATTATTATTATTTTTTAAATATTTATTGTTGTAGTTGGACACAATACCTTTATTTTATTTATTTTTATGTGGTGCTGAGGATCGAATCCAGGGCCTCGATTGTGCTAGACGCACGCTCTACCACAGCCCCAACCCTCACGGTGATAATTATTATTTTTTAAAAAATTATTTTTCAGTTTTCGATGGACACAACATCTTTTTTTTTTTTTTTTTAATTTTATTTTATATGGTGCTGAGGATCGAACCCAGCGCTCCGTGCATGCCAGGCAAGCGCATTACCGCTTGAGTCACATCCCTAGCCCATGATTATTCTTTATCAGTATTTATATTTTTAATTTTTAGCACCCTGATTTACATTTTATTTATTCATTGTCCTTTGAACACGGTGTTCAGTGCTTTCACGTTCTCATCTAAGCTGCCTAAAGACAAGGATTTATTTTCCAGAACTTTTCAAAGTTTAAAGCACAGTGCCACACAAACGGCAGTTTTCTTAGTAAAGCCTTTGCTAAAGGCTTGTGGAACCAATAATTATGAGGATAGCACAAGTGAAGGATGTCTTTTCTATTCAGTGTTCATTTAACAACTATTTTTTGAGGTATCCTGTGCTTAAAGACTTGCAAAATACAGGGAGAAACACCTATGATTTTTTGACTTTATGATAGTATAAAAGTGATACACATTCAGGAGAAAATACACTTTGAATTTTAATCTTTTCCTTGGTCAGCAACATGTAGTACTATATTCTGTCATGATGCTGGGCAATAGCATTTAACTTGCATCTCCCAGCCAGCTGTGAATTTCGGGGGCAAACAACTGATACTCTGTGGTGGACTGTGTTGCTAAGCTGGGTATTCTGTAGGTTAGGTGTACAAAATGCACTTTTAGCTTATGTTTTCAGTTTACCATGGTAACCCCAAATCAAGAAGCACTTACTTGTATGAGAGTTTTTTTTTTCCCCTCCAGCTTAACACCAGTCTAAACACTTAAACACTTAGTCAGATCAAGCTCTTCCTAGACCCTGCACGGGATTATTTTTTAGAGTCTTGTTGGTCGACTTGTAGCTCTGCTTGTTGTATAGCAGAGTTTTAGCATTGGGGCAGGGGAAGAAGAGATCATTTAGTTCCACCTCTCCTAATCAGAAAATTTCTCTAGACATTTCTAGCAGATACTATTTTTAGTTAATGATCAAGAATTAACAGTTTTAAAAGTATTTCATTTCATTTATAAGCAGTTCTGATTTTTTTTTTTTTTTGCAACAAACCTAAATTTATCTCCTACTTTATGTCCAGTGGTCCTGATGTTGTTTTTAGAGCAATGTTGTCTAATAGAAATATAAGCTTACAAGTGTGACCCACACTTGTAATTTAAACTTTTTTAGTAGTTATATTTTTTAAAAATGTAAAAATTGATGCAATTAATTTTTTTTAAAAAATAGTTTTTTAGTTGTAGATCAATGTAATACCTTTATTTATTTTTATGTGGTGCTGAGGATCAAACCCAGTGCCTCACATGTGCCAGGCAAGCGCTCTACCATTGAGCTCCAACCCCAGCCCCGTGAAATTAATTTAAATATTTAACCCAGCATGTCCAAAATATTATAAATACAACATGCAATTAATGTAAAATATCTTCATTAGTAATGACAGCATTTTTTTGGTATTAAGTGTTTGAAATCTGGTATGTATTCTCCATTTTCAGTACATCTCAATTCTAGCCACACTTCATATGCTTAAAGGGCACCATATTGGCCAGACTCTGTGGTGCACTTATAATCTCAGCAGCTTGGGAGGCTGAGGCAGGAGAATCGGGAGTTCAAAGCCAGCCTCAGCAACTTAGCAAGGCACTTAGCAACTCAGTGAAACCCTGTCTCTAAATAAAATATAAAAAAGGGTTGGGGATGTTAATTAGTGGTTAAGCACTCCTGGATTCAATCTTCAGTACCCAAAACAAAAAAACAAACATAAGAACACTATATTGGACAGCACAGTTCTAGAGAGCTTTAGAGAATAATTCTGTTTTTTCTTTCTCTACCACTTACTACTCGCCGAGTACATAATAAGCGCTTTTTTTGGGTGAATAAATAAGTGACTAAGTACTAATATAGCAGATCATTTTATTTGGGAAATATCTTGTTGACATTTTTGGATTTGGCATACAGGTTTGAGTGATTTGAATCTGTACTACAGATAATTTATTTTTATCTTTTTAGCATTATGGATCCAAGCCTATTAAGAGAAAGGGAGCTGTTCAAAAAACGAGCTCTTTCCACTCCTGTAGTAGAAAAGCGTTCAGTGTCTTCTGAGTCATCATCATCATCATCGAAGAAGAAGAAAGCAAAGGTAGAACATGGAGGATCATCAGGCTCTAAACAAAATTCTGGTTAGTAAAAATCATGTAGGATTGTTTGATTTTTATTTTTTAGAAAACCATTTAGTAATGGCAAGTTCAACATTAATATTGATTTTTAGACATTTGGTGAAATATAAGGGATGGGATGATAAGAGAATTTAAGCCCTTAATATGTTAATTGTGTTGTGTGTTTAATATTTAGATTATCACTTTAAAAGAACAACTTCATTAAAGTTTAGTTTGCATTCCATATAGTTCATTCATTTTAAGTGTACAATTCAAATATATTCCTTTCCAATTTTAGAACATTTCTATCATTGCCAAAAGGTCCAGTGTGCCCATTTGCAACACTATTCCTACCCTAGTCCCAGATAACCAATAACCTACTTTCTGTCTGTCTCCATATGCCTTTTCTGGACACTTCTATAAATGGAATTGTGTAATGTGGGCTTTTATTTGTGGCTTCTTTTATTTAGTTTGTTTTTGTGTTTCATCTGTGTTGTAGGATTATATCAGTATTTTATTCCACTTTATGGCTGAAGAAGTTTTTGACACTCTTGAATAGCACTGCTACAAACATTATGTATAAGTCTTTATATAGACATATTTTCATTTCTTTTGAATAGAGAAATAGGAGTGGAATTTCTGGATCATGTGGTAAATTTATGTTTAATCCCCTCCCCCCGGGATTGAATCTGGGGCTGACCATTGAGCTACATCCACTTTATTTTTATTTTAACACAGGGTCTCTGTAAAATTTTCAGACTGACCTTGAACTTGTGATCCTCCTTGCCTTAGCTTGCTGAGTAGCTGGGATTACAGGCCTGCGCCAAGGTGCCTGACTATATTTAACTTTTTATAAAATGATGGAAAAGGTTGTCCCATTATATAATCTCACCAAAAGTAGGAGGATTCTAGTTTTTTCTCATCTGTATCAACATTTGTGATTCCTTTTCTTTTTGATCATAGCTATTCCTAGTGGGTGTGAAGAGGTATCATTATCATTTTAATATGTATTTCCCTAATGACTAATAGTATGAACATGACCAGATGTGTACTTTCCTTGGTGAACTATTTGTATTTTTTTTTTTTTTGCCCATTTTAAAAAGTGGGCTATTTGTCTTTCTGTTGGTTTGAAACCATTCTTTTTTTTTTTTTTTTCCATTACCAGGGATTCAACTCAGGGGCACTTGACCACTAAGCCACATCCTCAGCCCTATTTTGTATTTTTTTTTTAATATTTATTTTTTAGTTTTAGGTGGACACAATATCTTTATTTTACATTTATGTGGTGCTGAGGATCAAACCCAGTGCCTCATGCATGCTAGGTGAGCACTTTACCACTGAGCCACAACCCCAGCCCCCTATTTTGTATTTTATTAAGAGACAGAGTCTCACTGTGTTGTTTTGCGCCTCGCCTTTTGCTGAAGCTGGCTTTGAACTTGTGATACTCTGCCTTAGCTTCCCCAGTTGCTGGGATTACAGGTGTGCACCACCATGCCCAGTTAATTAGCAGAAATTTTTTTTGTGTTACCAGGAATTGAACCCATGAATGCTCTTCTGAAGAGCTCATCCCTAGCCTTAATTTTTTTTAAAGTTGTTGGTGGACTTTTATTTATTTATATGTGGCACTAAGAATCGAACCTAGTGCCTCACACATGCTAGGCAACTGTGCCTAGCCACAACCCCATCCCATCCCCAACCCTTTTCAAATTTTCTTTCTAGGTAGGATCTTGCTAGTTTGCCCAGGCAGGTCTTAAAGTTTATGATCATCTTGCCTCAGGCTCTCGAGTAGCTGGAATTATGGGTATGTGCCACCAGGCCTGCCTAAAAGTTTTTAATTTTGATGAAAGCCAACTTAGCAATTTTTTTCTCGTTTGTTTTTAGTGTCATTTCTAAGAAAGCTCTCCCTGATTCTGTATTTCCTTCTAAGAGTTTTATAGTTTTAGCTTTTTGACTTAGGTTTGTGGTATGTTTGAGTTACTTTTGTGTATGGTTTTACATAAGCACCTAAATTTCAAAGTAGATTTGGTGAATTCAAAGTTTGTTCAGGCTCTTATATTAAACCATACACAAAAATTAACTCAAACTTATAGACCTATGTATAAGAGCTAAAATTATATTTCACTGTCCCAGTGCCATTTCTTGAACATTTTTTTTTTTTTTTAATTTTTATGTGGTGCTGGATTGGACCCAGTGCCTCACTCATGCTCAGCAAATACTCTACCACTGAGCCACAATTCCTGGCCCTGAACAGACTATTTTTAACCTCATTTGAATTGCATTGGCCCTCATGTTGTGTATCAGTTGACTATTGACGAGGCATTTTATTTCTGGAGTCTCAGTTTGATTTCATTGACTTATTTGTCTATTTTTATGCCAGGACCACACTTTCTTGGTAGTGTTGTGGTTTAAGTTTTAAGATTAAGAAGTATAAATCTGGCCAGCACTGTGGTGCATGCCTGTAATCCCAGCAGCTTGGGAGGATGAGACAGGAGAATCGTAAGTTCTAAGCCAGCCTCAGCAAAAGCAAGATGCTAAGCAACTAGTGAAATAAAAATAAAAATACAAAAATAGGGCTGGGGATGTGGCTCTGTGGTTAAGTGCCCTTGAGTTCAATACTTGCCCCCCGCCCCACAAAAAAGTGTAAATCTAGATTGAGGATATATCTCAGTTGGTAGAGTGCTTGCCTTGCATGCATAAGGCCCTACACTATCAAAAAAAAAAAAGTGTAAATCCATGGACTATTATGTAGCTCAGTGGTAGAATACTTGCCTACTAAGCACAAGGCCCTGGATTTAATCCCTAGTACTAGTGAAAAATAAAACAGAGAAAGTATTAGTCCTTCAGCTTTTTTTTTTTTTCTTTTAAGAGAGGAGGGGGGAGAATTTTTAGTATTTTTTATTTTTTGGCGGACACAACATCTTTGTTTGTATGTGGTGCTGAGGGTCGAACCCTGGTGGCACGCATGCCAGGCGAGCGCGCTACCGCTTGAGCCACATCCCCAGCCCCTAGTTCTTCAGCTTTGTTCTTTTTTTTTTTATTTAAGATTATTATTTTTTTTCTGGATCTTTTGCATAATTTTAAGATTGGTTTGTTAATCAACATCTGTAAAAAACCAGCTGGGACTTTGGGTCTTGCTAGGTTGCTAATAATCTCTATTAGATTCAATATATAAATCAGTTTAAAGGATAATTTCTACCTTAAAAACATTAGGTCTTCCAGTTAGTTAACTTCCATATCTTTCTATTTATTTACATTTTAAATTTATTTCAATAATGTTTTGAGTTTTTAATGTATAAGTCAATTTCATACTTATTTTGTTAAATTTATTCCCAAGTATTTTACTCTTTTTTTTTGTAAATATTTTATTCTTTTTGATGTATTATGAGTAGAATTGTTTTCTTTTTTTAAAAATATTTTTTTTAATTGTAGATGGACATAATACCTCTATTTTATTTTTATATGGTGCTGAGGATCGAATCCAGGGCCTTCCACATGTGCGGCAAGCACTCTACCACTGAGCTACAACCCCAGCCCTGGAATTATTTTCTTAATTTGATATTTTTGATTGTTCATATCCAGTATGTAGAAATGCAGTACATTTTATACATTGATTTTGTATGGTGTAACATTGTTGAACTTATTTTTTGTTTCTAGTAGGTTTTTATGTGAATTCCTTAGGATATTCTACATCAATATTATGCCTTCTAGGAATAAAACCAGTTTTGTTTTTTCCCTTCCAATATGCTGTCTTTTATTTCTTTTCCTTGCCTGTCTGATATGGTGTTGAGTCCAGGTAGTGACAATTGATTGTCTTTGCCATCTTTCCAATCTCAGGGGCAAAGTATTTAGTCTTTGCTATTATATATGGTATTATTGCAGGTTTTTGTAGATAGCCTTTATTTGGTTGAAGAAGTTCCCTGCTATTTCTAGTTTGTTGAGAGTGTCTGTTTGTAAATGGGTTTTGGATGTTGTCACATGCTTTTTCTATATCAAATGAGATGATTGTGTTCTTTTATTCTGTTAATATATCAATTGGTTTTCATTTGTCAAATCAGCCTTGCATTCCTGGAATAAATCCAACTTGGTCATGTTATATAATCGTTTTTATTGTTGCAGTGTTCAATTTGCTGGTATTTTGTCCAGGATTTTGGCATTTCTATTCATGAGGGATATATATGGGCAGTACTTTTATTTTCTCGTGCTGTCCATCAGGGTAATTCTGGTCTTCAATAATGTATTGTGCAGTGTTCCTCTTCTATTAATTTTTGGAAGAGTTTGTGAAGGTTTATTATTATTATTCTTTAAAGATCTGGGTGAATTCTCTAGTGTGACCATTTGGGCCTGAGCTTTCCTTTGTATTTAGCTCTGTAGGATGGCTTCTTCCTATATATTAGTCTATTCAGATGTTCTATTACTTCTTGAATTAATTTTGGTACTTTGTATCTTTTTAGGAGTCTATCCATTTTATTATCTACATTGTCTGGAGTTTTTCAAAGTGCTCTCTTAAAATCCTTTTGATTTCTCTAGGGTCAATGGTGATGTGTTCTCTCTCTCTCTCTCTCTCTCTCTCTCTCTCTCTCTCTTTCTCTCTCTCTTTGATACAAGGTATTGAACGCATGGTGCTTACTCACTGAGCCACATCC